AGACAGGGTCTCTCTGTAGCCCTAGCTGGCCTGGATTCGCTATGGAGACCAGGCGGGCCTTGAACTCAGAGGGATCTGCCTGCCTCTGCCTCCCGAGTGCTGGGATCAAAGGCGTGCACCACCATGCCCGGCCAAGCTACGTGGTTTTTGGGTTTTCTTTTTTTTTTTTTTGGTCTTTTTGAGACAGGGTCTCTCTGTAGCCCCAGCTGTCCTGGAACTCACTATGTAGACCAGGCTGGCCTTGAACTCACAGAGATCCTCCTGCCTCTGCCTCCTGAGTGCTGGGACTAAAGATGAGCGCCACCACACCTGGCATTCAAGCTATGTTTTTTAAGCAAAGATTTTCATTTTAACTGTGGGATCTGAAGTTACTTATTTTGAGTACTTTAAGCTATTAAGAGCCAGCTGTTCTTGGAACTGACTATTTTTGGTATAGGAGCTGCTATTTTTGAGTTGTGAGTGCAGTTTAATCTTGTGCAACTGAGTCTGCATATTGACTTTTGAAAATGTAGATATCTTTGGCCAGCAAGATGACTCAAGTAATCCCAGCACTTGGGAGACAGAGACAGGTGGTTCTCTGGGCGTTCAAGACCAACTAAGCCTTCATTGTGAGACCCTGTCTCAAAAACAGATGGCTCAGCAGGTAAAGGTACTCACCACCAAGCTAGACCACCTGAGTTCCATCCCTGGGCCCATGTGGTAGGAGAACTGACTCCTTCAGGCTGTCTTCTGACTTGACTGTGCACTGTGGCACACCCACCCCCTTACACACACACACACACACACACACACACACAAAATGTTGGGGGTTTTTTTTGTTGTTTTTTTTTCTTTTGTCTTTTTGAGACAGGGTCTCCCTGTAGCCCCAGCTGTCCTGGAACTCACTATGTAGACCAGGCTGGTCTTGAACTCACAATCTGCCTGCCTCTGCCTCCCAAGTGCTGGGACTACAGGCGAACGCCACCGGCACACACAATGTTTTAAAAATTATTAAAAAAGAAAATGTAGGTATCTCTTGTATAGCTTCTGAGCACAACCAGTTTAAAGCTAAGGTAGAAACCTGGTTTGTTTACTTTAATTGGCAAAACTTGGAGGGGACATTTTATCTCATGATTCATACATTAGTTTTCAACACTTTGGAACAACTCTAAAACAAACTCAAATTTCCTTCATTCTGAGACTTATTTTTTCCACTTAAATTTCAACACTTCCAAAATGAATTGTGTCATACACATTAAGTGTATATTTCATTGCCTTTTCTAAAACAAAAGTTTTACATTTTTATTATTATGGGGGGGAGGTGACACATGTGAGGCAGGGTGTGAGGAGGCCAAAGGACAACATTGTTCTTTCACTGTGGGCTATAGGAATCCAGCTCAGGTTGTCAGGCCTGCAGGGCAAATGCTTCTAATACCCATTTGGCCAGCTCTGTTAAAATTGCTGCTGTTAGCACATTTCACTAAAATTTTGAAATAGGTAGTAATACCAAAAAAAAAAGTGTAATCCCAACACTTAGAATGCCACAAACTGAAAATTGGGCCTACATAGTGAGACCGTCTCAAAACAAAAAAAAGGAACATTTTTTGTTTGTCTTACTATTTTAACCTACAGATTAGTAATAAATCAAGTGTTCGGATATCTTCATTCTAACTGCACACACTCTTAAGAAAGCCCCAGAAAGAGGCAGTCAGTGCCTTCTGGGAAATGTCAGAAAGCAAACTGGGAAACCGGAGTTTCTGCTATTGCCGTCTTCCACAGTTTCTCTTCTGATGGGGCTGGTTGCATGAGTATTGCCCCTTCCTGACCAGCAGTCCCTTGTGTATTTGAGGCCCCCTCTCCTTTTTGATGCTTGAAATTGGAAGCAAGAGGTACTTTAGCAGCACTGTTTCGAATACTGAGAAACTTGGCTGTGCAGATTGCAAGTTCTGTCTGGGGATGTCATTAGGAGTGTCAATGGAAGCCTTAAAGACACTTTCCAGTTGCCGGATTGTACCATCCTGTAAGTGTGCTCTCTGGAGAACACCTTCATCATGGTTGTGGAAGGCTTTGCTGGGCCTTGCAACAGCCTGCAATAGTTGCACCATCTAGATCAAGAGGGCACAGAACCCTGTGACTCAGAGAGCAGCAGCTTTTACTCTGAAGCTTCTCACTGTATCTGTCCTTGAAAACAGAACTAACAAAAGAAGTGAGGTGAGTAGGGCTGTTGGTGAGAGAAAGGAGGAAATCTAAGAGCCAGCTGCTCACCTTTGTCCTGTTTGGGGGGTAGGGGGGCTTGGAAATCATTGGTGGGGATGCTTCGTAGAAAGAGTGGCATCTTTCTACTCGCCCGTGAGTCCTCAGGAAGTTGATGTTAGGGTTATAACTTTGATTGCAGATTAATGTTTTTTACCTTCTTTCCTCCCCATCCACTTTTGGTAGATTTGGAATAGATGACATTGTGTGTTGAGTAAGAATTTGGAGGAAAGATTAAAACTTTTTTTAATGCATTTTTAAAAATACTTTATTATATTTTGATTTTATTTTGTGTATGCGTGTATTGCCTGCATGTAGGTAAGTTGACCATTTCGTGCAACACCTATGGAAGATAGAAATGCCTACGGAAGATAGAAGAGGCTGTTGGATCCCCTGGAACTGGAGTTACAGACAGTTGTTAGCTGCCATGTGGGTGCTAGGATTCAAACCCGGTCTTCTGCAAGAATAGTCAATGTTCTTAACCGCTGTGCCATCTCTCCAGCCCCAAGATGAAAACTCTTGATCAGAACTTTAGCTCTGTAGATTGAATGTGTTTATTTGGGATTGTATATGAGATAGAAGGAGTAAAACTTCACCTGACTTTATTGTGTTGGTGTAGTGTAATCTCGATGTGGTTTGGTTTTAAAATGTCCTTTTGACATTAGGACAGTTGGGAAAATCTGAGTAAGATCTGTAGACCAGATAGCAACACTGTCATACTCTTCTGTTTTGATCATTGTTTTCAGGGTGGTGTATACACTTAAGTGTTTAGGGGCAGTGTGTCTGCACTGGGGAGATGGCTCTCTGGATAAAGTGCTAAAAGAAGAATATGGAGGAAAAGGGGGGAGGATTAGGGATACAGTTCAGTGACACAGTGCTTATCTAGCGTGTATGAGACCCTAGGTTCAGTCTCTAGCACCACGAAAGCCTAGAACTCAAATGGTAAGTACTTTGGGGGAGAAAATGGTTAATATCTTTTGTCCTCTTTAAAATAGTTGACAGTGCACTCTACATTTTCAAAACCTACTACTATTTTATTTGTCTTGGTATCCTTAAAATAACCTTTTCTTTAACCTTGATTCTTCAGAGTGGAGGCTGTGCTGAGCAGACTCTGGAACCATGAACATATTTGATCGGAAGATCAACTTTGATGCCCTCTTAAAATTTTCCCACATGTAAGTGTTTTAACCTTGATTGTGATCCCGTACTGCATTTACTGTTCTATCTAGTTTCTTTTCTTGGTTAACTTTCATTTGTATAAGTAAACTGGCAAAATCCAGAGAAGCCCACAAAGGTATCCACGTTGGAGGGCTGCTGTGTAGTCACTGACAAGTCACTCTAGTCTGGGTACTAATTATTCATACATTTGGCCTTGGGCTCCTCTCTAGCAGTTTGATTCTGCTAACCTATTTTTAAAACATTTTTTATTTTAATATGTTCTGTTCTTCCCAAAGTATCTTATCAAGCTGTTCGTAATATAACTTTCACTTACTTCTCTGGTAAGAGAGGGAAAAAAAAACAATTCTTAGTTTAAAGATGCAATTAGTACAGGAGTGACGTCTGTTATGAACATTGTTTCCTAGAACCCCCTCGACACAGCAGCACCTGAAGAAGGTCTATGCCAGTTTTGCACTCTGTATGTTTGTGGCAGCTGCAGGGGCCTATGTCCATGTGGTCACGCACTTCATTCAGGTAAGAACAGGTCTCTCTGTTTGCTGTAGTACAGACTGCATTGGGAAGAAACCAGTTTGGCAGGATAGTCCATTCCTGTGCCCTGAGTTAATGTCTTTATCAGTAATTTGATGTCTAAATGCATCTAGCCAATAATTCAAGACATTATATAAAGCACTGAAGTTTTCTGGTAACTGCCCTTCTCACAACTGAAAACAGAATCTCTTCCATTTGGCTATTGGCCCTGAATGGTGTGCTGCTGACATACAAGTCATCCCCCTACCCCTGAGAAGCATGAACTATGTGCTGGATGTTCTTTGTCGTGATGGCCATCCTGCCTTGCCTTCGTTAGTTCTCTGTTACCTAAATGACTGTGGAGAATTTGGAGCAAAACACAAGTTACACAATTATCAGTAGAGGCAAGATTGAGACTTTTACACATTTGACCCATTTTTCTGATCTGCTGTCTTTTTGCGTGGGTGAAACCTTCAGTAAGTCCTTGTCCTGTGAGTGAGAATTTGAGTTTGTCCAGAAGTAGAAGGCACAGGGTTTTTGTTTAGTTTAGTTTTTAGTTTAGTTTAGTTTCTTTGGTTTTTTTTTTTTTGCACTTCTGTATTCTCATGTAATAGTTCTCAATCAAACCTAGACACCTTCCCCCATAGAAGGAAAAATAACCAAAAAGCTTGAAGTTTGCACTAACCAAACTGGAGAGTTGCTTGTTTTTAGCAGAAATACAGAGTTACACTTGGGTTGGCATTTGCCACTGGAATGAGCTGTCCTTCTCCTGCCAAGGATTTTATGAAAAATTGTTCCAGACACTCAGAAGGACAATGTGCTAATCCTTGAGTTCAAGTTTTAAGTCCTTTTGCTTTCTGGTTGTGCTATTTGTGCTTTTGTTGTTTAAAGTAACCTAAGATACAGTCAATTTGTAGTACTGACTGATTTGGGAATTCACTTACTTGCTAAAATTTTAACTCCAAGATGAATACTTTTTGTAAACATGCAGAGTATAAAACTCAGGTTCCTTTTAAATGCCGTGTCTAGAGGGTTAGGAACCACCTTACTTCCCTCACATGTCTGACAGGCTTAGTGTGCCACCTTTGTGCTTTTTGTGTGCTGGGGATTGAGTCCACATGCTTTCTACCGTTGGGCTGCACCCCATCCTGCTATATCCTTTGTGGCTGGGTAGTGATGGACACAAAGAGGGATGACCAGGTATCTAATAATAAAATACCACACAGAGACAATTTAATATTTAAGAAGGCTGACTGGGCTTGGTGGTACATGCCTTTAATCCCAGCACTGGGGAGGCAGAGGCAGGCAGATCTCTGCGTTCAAGGCCAGCCTGGTCTACATAGTGAGTTCCAGGCCAGCTGGGGCTACAGGGAGACCCTGTCTCAAAAAAAAGACCAGGAGGATAAAAGGAAAAGAAAAAAAGCTGGGGACCAGGAGGCTCCCTGTTCCATAGAACAAAGAGCACTGGTTCTCTAACTCAAGATTTTATTCATAGGAATGGAGTGCTCTAAGCAGGTATTCAAGAACAAAGGGTATGCAGCTTTGTATTCAGCTCAAAGGACATTTTCCTGTGGGAGCTCAGGAAATTATTTTTGTGGCCTGTTTGCAAGGTATAGAGCAGATAATCACACAAAAGTGTAAGTAAGGCATAGTTTGTTATCTAAACATAAGGGACACTGCACTTCAGAATCATACATTAGCATCCATGCCTATCTGACTCTAAACAATCTTGGCTACTGCCAACTTTGCACATGTAGTCAAGCATGCTTTCTGCAGAGCTCAAACAGAGCAGTTGTCTTTAACACCATCCCCAGTCATACTTTTTTGTTGCTGATTTTTTTTTTTTTTCGGTCTTATTGAGACAGGGTCTCCCTGTAGCCCCAGCTATCCTAGAACTCACTATGTAGACCAAGCTGGCCTCGAACTCACAGAGGTCTGACTGCCTCTGCCTCCCAAGTGCTGGGATTAAAGGCATGTGCCACCACGCCCAGCTGATTTTGCTTTTTGAGATGGCATAATGTTTTATGTTAGCATGGTCTGCTATTATTAAGATTGTGATTTACAATAAAAAACTTTAAATGTTTTAAATAAAGGGCTGAAGAGATGGTTCAGTGGTTAAGAACACTGGTTGTTCTTGCAGAAGACTCGGGTTCGAATTCCAGCACCCACATGGCAGTTAACAACTGTCCGTAACTCCAGTCCCAGGGGATCTAACAGCCTCTTCTGACCTCCGAGGGCATTGCACGACCCAGGTGCACTTACCTACATGCAGGCAATACACGCATACACATAAAAATAATTTAAAAAAAAATGTTTAAAAAGATTGTGATTTACTTTGGGGAGACAATATAAAGTTAGATCAGCTCCATTCAGGCATCAACAACAGGACAAATAAAGTGTCCTTAAATGGAAAATGTGACCGGAGGCTTGGGGAAACTGTCCCCCAGGAGCAGTGACTTCATAGTCACTGTTTGAGTGTCCATTCCTGCTATCAGTAATGACAAGTAACTACTTAAGGCAGGAACTTGAGTCTATATCTACTTGAAGTGATTTCTCTCTTCTAAGGCCTGTAGGTTTTCCCTTTTTAAACAAAAAAGAAGCCAAGCGTAGTGGCACTTGCCTTTAATCCCAACACTCAGAAGGCAGAGGGCAGGTGGATCTCTGTGAGTTCAAGGCCAGCCTGATCTACATATCGAGTTCCAGGCCAGCTGGGGCTACAGGAAGACCCTGTCTCAAAAAGACCTATAGAAAGAAAGAAAGATAAAAGAAAAGAAAAAACTTTTCTTAGTACAAAATTAATGCATCTTATAGACAATTAGAAAATGAGTAAATGGTATGGAGTAGTTTTTAAAACCTTTAAGCCAAGCAGTGTTGTATACCTGTGAAATCCCAGCACTTGGGAGGCACAAGCAAGAGATCACAAGTATGAGGTCATCCTGGGCTATAGGAGCAAGAGACCCAGTCTCTATAACTACCCCCCAAGAAACCTCCATAATCCCATCAACCAGAAATAATTCCTGTAATATTAACATTTTGATTCTGGTTCTTTTTTCTTTTTTTAAAAAAGAAATTTGCTGGGCATGGTGGTGTACTTGGGCAGCAGAGGCAGGTGGATCTCTGTGAGTTTGAGGCTAGCTGGGGCTACAGGGAGACATCTCAAAAAGACAAAAAGAAAAAAAATTTTTTAAATTGTATGTATATGTATGTGTCTGTATGTGGGTAAGTGCATGTAAGTGCAGGTGCTCCCAGAGGCCAGAGGTATCAAGAGTTAACAGGCAGGCACGTAGGCAATTGTGAGACACCTAATGTGGTTGCTGGGAATTGAACTTGAGTCCTCTGGAAAAGCAGCAAGTGCTCTTAACCTACCCGACTTTTCTCTTCCTTTCCTTTCTTTTATTTCTTTTTTTTTTTTTTTTGAGACAGGATCTTATAACCACAACTGGCCTGAATTCCCCAGTGCTGGGGTTACAGGCCTGCACCACCACATCCTGCTTGGACTTTTTCCAGATTTTTTTTTTTTTTTTTTATATTTATGTTATTTTTTAATGGGTATTCGTGTATTGCCCGCATGTAGGTAAGTGCACTCGTGTCCTGCAGTGCCCGTGGAGAACAGAAGAGATTGTCGGACCCCCTGGATTGTCAGATAGTTGTTAGCTGCCATGTGGGTGCTGGGATTCGAACCCCAGTCTTCTGTAAGAACAATCAGTGTTCTTAACTGCGGAGCCATCTCTCCAGCCCTCAACTTTTTTTTTCTATGTGTATGAATCTCTTATTTATTTTTATTTATTTTTTATGTGTATGAATGTTGTGTCTGCATGTAGGTAGGCGTACCTGTGTCATACAATGCCTGCGGAAGTAGAAGTGGGTGTCGGATCCCCTAGAATTGGAGTTACAGACATTTGTTAGCTGCCATGTGGGTTTTGGGAATTGAACCTGGGTCCTCTGCAAGAGCAGCCAGTGCTCTTAACTACTGAGCCATCTCTCCAGTCCCTGCATCTCTTTTTTTAAAATTACTACTAATTTTTTTTGACTGACAAAATTTTTTTTGTGCATTTCATATAATACATCTTTTTTTTTTGTCTTTTTGAGACTGGGTCTCCCTATAGCCCCAGCTGGCCTGGAACTCACTATGTGGACCAGGCTGGCCTTGAACTCACAGAGATCCACCTGCCTCAACCTCCTGAGTGCTAGGATTAAAGGTGTGTGCTACCACACCCAGCTCATATAATACATCTTAATCAGATTAAGATCCCCCCCCCCATTCTCCTGCCCCCCATAACACCCCCCCACACACACACACTGGTTTTCAGGTGGCCTACCCTATCAAACATTTGTATTCAGACATCCCTCATTGCAAATTAATCCACTGGAGTCTAGTCAGCCTATCTAGAGTCACTCCCTTACAGATCAACTTTCCCTCACTCCACAGTAATCATTTGCCAATAAATAGTTCCCTTGGCTAGGGTTGAGGCCTGTTGCCCATTTCCCCTGTTCTATGCTGGGTTTTTGGAAATTAAAACTTTGTGTGTGTGTGTGTGTGTGTGTGTGTGTGTGTTTGTTTGTATGTATATAAGCATGTACATGTTTTCTTCTTCCACTGTGTGGGTCCCAGAGATCAAACTTACCACGTCAGCCTTGGTGGGAAGTGCCTTTACCCACTGAGCCATCTCACTGTCCCTTTTTTTTAAAGTGACTGAAAGGGGATCATTTCTACTTGTTGCACATCTGTATACAAGATATTGTAATGTGCTTCAAGCACTTTTCAGTTTGGCTCATCTTTTCTCTTTTACTTGAGTAGTTGTACTGTAATTGATGGACCACAAAGTTAGAAGAGCCTTTGGCATCGAGCATTGCCTTAGAAACCTGGTTTCTCTCTTCATGCACTCTGAGAATACAGTACCCTTTCCTCTACCCCTAGTTTAAAAAGCAGTGTTAGGTATTTCAGATCAGTATTTGAAACTAGTAAAGTCTGAAAAATACACATGGGATGTCCAAGTGTTTATTTATTGACTGCTCTGACAGGCTGGCCTGCTCTCTGCCTTGGGCTCCTTGGGCTTGATGATTTGGCTGATGGCAACACCTCATAGCCATGAAACAGAACAGAAAAGATTGGGACTGCTCACTGGATTTGCTTTCCTTACAGGTATGTTAGGGGTTTGGTCTAATGGGGTAGGGAGGAGGAGTTTATATTTTTAGTATCTCTTTAGACTAAAGCCTGAAATTTATCCTAATTTATTCCAACTGACATACATTCTTATCCTCCTATTCCAGTGTACAAGTCTTTCAAAAGACTTCTCCTCTTTGGAGTTTCCCTGTGGTATATCACACTGCTGTCTTCTCCCTTCTGGTCTCCTCACTGCATTGCCCAGTCATTCTTGTGTTTGTTTGTTTTGCATTGTACTATGTCCTTGTTTCCTGTAGTTTTCTCTTGCTTCCTCATGAATAGGGTTAAGCACTTTGTGGCTAGCAACTATTACCTCTACTTTTGTTAAAAAATAAACATTGCTGAAATGAATGAGGTTCTTTTTTAAGTGGTAGGCATGAACTAAACCAGAGAATTTGACTTAAAAGTTCATCTCAGAGCCGGGCGTGGTGGCGCACGCCTTTAATCCCAGCACTTGGGAGGCAGAGGCAGTAGGATCTTTGTGAGTTTGAGGCCAGCCTGGTCTACATTAGTAAGTTCCAGGACAGCTGGGGCTACAGGGAGACCCTGTCTCAAAAAGATGAAAAAAAAAAAGTTCATCTATTCTAGAATTATCAAGAAAGGAAAAAAGGCTCAAACCACATAATAAAAATACTTGCAAAACAACATGCTAATGTATTCTATGTTCTGAATGAGTCTAATCCAGTGTTACAGAAAGTATTATAGAAAGGAAGGGATTTAGGGAGTAAGATTTTTAGATAGAGAACACTAGATTTTTAAGGTATTAAGGGGTGGATTATCAGCCAGAGTAAAAGAAATGTTAAGAGTGGAGCTTGTGGCTCTCCTGTTGCCATGTGACCACCTGCAAAACTGGTCTGGCTGCTCATCACTACACTGGTGGTGATCCTGCATGACTGTGAGGTTTCTAACTGCCAGGCTATCCTGTTACTCTGATCCACTTTACAGTCTCAGAGATATTTTTCATGTCTGTTTTGTTCTTTTTTCTAATTTCTGTTCTTCCTAGAACTGTGATTTTGAATGAAGAGAATTACCTTGTGTGTATATTATTGTGAAAATAATTAAGGAAAAGAGAGGGCACAGTTCAACATGTCCTTATGCTTTTATGAGAGTGAATGCCTGTTCTGTTCATGATTAACATTTGGATGAGGGTCCTCTTCAGAATTGATTGTAATTTTGTGTTGGGGTGGTTTGGTTTCTAGGAGTTGGCCTGGGCCCCGCTCTGGAGTTGTGCATTGCTGTCAATCCCAGGTAACTGTTTTGTAGTGTTTTATATCTTTTTTTTTTACTTTCATTTATATACCTTCTAAATATAGGCCCCATACCTGAAGCCCTCAGCTAATGATCTTTTCCTTTAACAGCATCCTCCCTACCGCCTTCATGGGCACAGCTATGATCTTCACCTGCTTCAGCCTGAGTGCACTCTATGCCAGGCGCCGTAGCTACCTCTTTCTAGGAGGTAGGTGTGGACTGGGAAACAGGGAGTAGGGCTGTGCTCTAGTCAGAATTGTCACTAGGCCACCTTTTGTACCTCAGCTCCCTAGTGACTGTTAGGTTGAAATTAAAAACCTTCATTTTAGAGAAAAGTAAGAAATGACTTTAATGGGATTGTTCAATTCCCCCCCCCCCTTTGGCTTTTCTCAAGATAACTTTTGCTGTGTCTTATTTAATAGGTATCTTGATGTCAGCTATGAGCCTAATGTTCTTGTCTTCTCTGGGGAACCTATTCTTTGGATCCATTTGGCTATTCCAGGTGAGATTTTATGTAGAACTTTATAGCAACCATTGGCTTCATACATTTTTCTTGAATAACCCTAAAGCAAAAGAGGCAAAGAATCCCTTTAGTATACTCACTTTCTTTGGGCAGTGTCTGCCAGGTCTTCCCACCAACCCTTTGTAGGACACATCCTTCTGCCACTGGTGGAAGGAACTAGATCAAGTACTGCTAAGGAGAACAGGGTTTGCTCAGACCCTGTTTGCCAAGGCCAGTTTAGCTACCTGAAGGAGTGAAAGCAGGATTGTGCCTTGGGAAGTGACATGGTCTGCATCCTTGCCTTTTGGGTTAGCATTTGATGTATTTGCAAGTATCCAAGAAGCAGAAAGTAGGCTGGAATTTTGTTTTATTTTGTTTTGGTTTTCTACTACTACTACAACTACCCTATGTTGACTTTATCTCATTCTTTTGTTAGGCAAACCTGTACATGGGGTTGGTGGTCATGTGTGGCTTTGTCCTCTTTGATACTCAACTCATTATTGAAAAGGCTGAAAATGGAGATAAGGATTATATCTGGTGAGTGTGAGAACTGTCTTCAATGAGAATAAAGGTTGAGGCACATTATTTATTTATTTGGGTGGGGGGTCTTATGTAGTCCCAGGCTGGCCTCAAACTCACTGTATAGGTGAGGGTGACCTTGAACCTCTGGTTCTTTCCTCTTCTGAGTGCTGGGATTATAGGCATGCACCATCCATTTGTCCTCAGTGCTGAGGATCAAATCCAGGACCTCATGTGCTAGGCAAGTGCTTTACCACTGAGCTACATCCCCAGTCCATCATAGTTCTCATAGCAGCTACCTCTAGGGAGGAAAGAGTAAAAGGGTCTTTTTTTCTGAGACAGGGTCTCCCTGCAGCCCCAGCTGACCTAGAACTCACTATGTAGACCAGGCTGGCCTTGAACTCACAGAGAACCTGCCTGCCTCTGCCTCCAATTTCAGAGATTCTTCTCGAAAGTGCTGGGATTAAAGGTGTGCACCACCACTCCTGGCCATATTTTTAAAAATTTTATGTGTATTCCTGCATGTATGTAAGTGTACCTGTGTCATGCAATGCCCGCAGGGATCAGAAGGTGTCAGGTTCCCCTGAAACTGAAGTTACAGATGGTTGTTTGCTGCCATGTTGGTTCTTCTGCAAGAGCAGCCAGTGCTCTTAACTGCTGAGCCATCTCTCTAACCCCCTTATTGTTGAAGAATACTGAGGGAGGGCTAGAGAAATGGCTCAGCGGTTAAGAGCACTGGCTGCTCTTGCAGAGGACCTGGGTTCAATTCCCAGCGTGGTGGCAAACAACTGTCAGTAACTCCAGTTCCAGGGGATCCGACATCCTCCTCTGAACTCCACAGGCATTACACAACATGGGTGCACTTATGGTACATGCAGGCAAAACACTCATACACATAAAATAAAAATAATAAAATATTTTTTACATAGAAGGTGTCTATCATTTTCGAGCATAGCAGTCCTCTCAGTCTCCTAGGTAATTATTAATAGTTGATGGTTAAGGGTTCAAGACTTGTCTCTACACAATCCAAAGCCCAATCTCTTTATGCCACATGGCTTTCTTGAGTTGAAAATAATTCCAGACCCCAGAGTTTTATTTCCTTAATGGGGGAGGAGTGTCAGTGAAGCTGATTCACAAGTGGGGTGGGGTTTCCTTTATCTGTACTTGTAGATAAAGGAAAGTGGGAAGTATTGTGAGTTAACTAGTTCTTCTCTTTTAGGCACTGCGTTGATCTCTTCTTAGATTTTGTTACACTCTTCAGAAAACTCATGATGATCCTGGCCTTGAATGAGAAGGTTAGTTGGCCTGCAGATGGGAGAATGGCTCTTCTGTTCAGCGTCTGTGTAGATGTAGATTTTGAAAAGTTGATCATACACTGTGTATGTCCAAATAGCTGTAAGGCAGGCCCCTAAGCAAGATGAAAACCAGAAATCTTTGAATATCATAGAAAAAGAATCAAGTAAAAACAATGTTTTTCTTTCTTAACTAATCCCTGAGATTGGTATCAAATGGAAGAGAACGTCAGTGGCTGTAAAAAACATCCTCCCTTATGAAGAATAAAGGGCTACAAAGTTAATTAGGACTCAGAAAAAGCAGAAGACATTGTATAATGATGATAGGCATCTTTTGTAAATGTCAGAATTAGACTAGTTTTATCTTTGTTAATTTAAATTTTCTTTATGGTGTGCTGTTTGCATATTTGCATGTGTGTGTGTAGGTACCTGCAAAAGCCAAAAGAGTGTCAGGTGCCCTGGAGCTTGAGTTACAGGCTGTTGGTTGTGAGCTGCCTGATGTGGGTGCTGGGAACTGAACTCGGGTCCTCTACAAGAGCAGCAAATGCTCTTAACTGCTAAACCATCTCTCCAGCCCCTTAATCTTAAATTTTTTTTTCCCCCCCTAAAGAAGCATTCTGTATCAAGCAATCCAGTCTAGCATTGGGGGAACAAATTAACCTGTGAACTTCCTTTTGTAAACCTGATTCTGCAGCATCAGACAGTGAATGCAGTGGTGGTGGAGGCAGTGACAAGATAGGTGGGTGGGCCGGGTCACAGTTGGGGCTTAGCACCACTAAGGTGCCCTGTGTATCAGCTTCCAACTTTTATTCCTTTAATACATTGGGGTTTCCATCTAAGGAAGAATCCCTTGGACTAGATTATATCTCAATAGTTGCTTAGATGGAAGACTCAGCCCTTCTAGGGTAGAGGATTTCCCAGGAGAAATAAATGGTGGTTTGGGCCTTAGTTTTTCTCTTTTAGGATAGAGTACCCAGTCTGCAGCCTTTACCGACTGGGCTCTGAGGTGGTGGTTCTGAATAGCGAAGAGCAGTCAAGCAGTCTGCCCAGGAACTGGAGGGTGGGAGCTTGTTAAGCCTCAGCAGCTTTGGCTCTAGCCTACCTACCAGTGAAGATGGTTGTCAGTCATTTCTTCCTGAGCTGAGGGAGCTCTTTTCTCATTCCCAATCATTGTATAGACCCTTCCAGTCCCTAGCCAAAGACTCACTCAAGTTTGGGTTTGTATTTTAGAGGTTTAAGAAAAAACATTAATTGGGTGATTTTTTTTTTTTTTTTTTCTCACCCCCATTTGTAGGACAAGAAGAAAGAAAAGAAATGAACTGGCTATTAGCCTTTCCCAGCTTGATGTCCTCCCCAACCCCTCATTTCTTTGCACACATCGCAGGTGTCATGTTCTATGATAATGAAAAGCATCAGAAAAGCTTTTGTACTTTGTGGTTTTCTCTATTTTGAATTTTTTGATCAAAAAACTGATTAGCAAATATAGTTTGGAGTTTGGCTTCGTATTCCTGGGGTTCCCTTCCTCCCTCTTCTGCCAGCCCGTCCATAGCCTCCTGCTCTGCTCAGGCAGCTAGTCCACTGAGATGAGGGGTGGGGAGCAGCAGAGGGAGCAAACCAGCAGTCTGCGCCTGCAAAGCCCCTGCAGATGGACCTCCAGGACTGCTTGCTGGAGCCTCTTTGGCACCCGTGCTTTGTTTTTTGCAGTTCCAGTGGGACTGGGCAGTACCTTTTCCATTGGGAAGGAGCTCACTTGTCCTGTGGTTAACTTTCTATACATGAGCTGTCGGCCCCACAAAGAAAGCAGAGACTCTGGTGGCTGCTTTGCTTCCTCTGTGCTGCCTTAGCTGGTCTGGCAAACACCTTTCTGCCTTTCCATGATAGAGGGAATGGGACATGTGTGTTCCTTTTCCCACCCCTGCCTGACCCTCAGGGAATCTGTCTGCTTTCCATCTGTGGGGTGGGAAGATTTGAGCACAAAGGGAAAATCAATTCTCAGTCAGGTGTTTATGAAGTGGTTTAAGTATGTTGGCAAGGTAGAACAGACTTCACAAATTTTCTCTGATTGTTTTGGTGGTGGCGGTGATTTTTTTAAATGATCACTTTTGTTACTGACTAGCCTGTACTAGGAGGCTGTGATTAAGTAAGTCTCAAAGGAGGAAGGATAGAGAAGGGAATGCTTGATCCTTGGAGCTAATTGTGAGGGACAGACCACCAAGGGCGGTAGTGATGGCTGTGTTCTAACATTTCTTGAGTGTATTTTTGTCCAACCCTGCCTGGACACTATTATGGAGTGTCAGGTGAGAGATTTGAGGCAGTAGGTAAATGTTCATTTTACAGGTGCACTTCAATTTTTTGTTTCGTTCACCTGTTTCCAGAAAATTGCAGTCTTCTGGGCAAGGAGCCAGGTTACCAAACTTGTATACGCTCCAGTTTCCTTCGGCTTTGTGGTTAAAAGCAAATGGGTTGTCCTAATGGGGTCACCAGCCCCTTTCCTGTGGGCCACCACAATCTGCATAGAAGGGCAGCGTTAGCAGCAGTCATGGTCCTGGCTATTTTGGTTTTAATTTGAAGGGACCAAGCCATTGAAACATTACCAGTGGGATGCTGTTTGTCTTCCTGTTCACAGTCAGTACAGTATGACACAGTGGCTGCTGGTTTGCTGTCCCATGAAACTGCCCCTGGGAATGGCATGCCCCCTGAGTGGCTCAATTCACTGAGGGTGCTGCCCAGTTTACCTGCTGCCTCTGGCCTCTAGCTTGAGCTTACTAAAGGGACTTCTTTCTACACCAGGCCATCATTAGCAACTCTCCAGAAATATGGTGATTCTCTGCAAGGCCTGAGGATCTGAGTTTCACCTCTTGAAGCCAAACTCCAACCTTTTGTGCTTTTTTGCTTGGGATAAAGGAGTTTTTCTTTAGAAACAGTGCCAAGAATAATAAGATATAAAACTACTTTTAAAGAAAATGCCTAACAGGTTTTTAATAACAAGTATCACTGTAATTTCCACTCTCTTTTCTGGTTCCTTGGTTTTCAGCTCAGGCTGCATTCTCTAACTCATACTGTGAAGACAAAGGTGTTTTTGATTCAAATATATATATATCTACATAGTCTTAATTTGTAAAAAATAAAAAAAAAAATTCCTTAACCTTTCCTGATGTTTTTGTGTGTTAAGTCAAGGGCACAGCTAGGTTGGAATTTGGGGTGCTGTTCGGTTTGCCTAGTGGGGCCTGGGATTGAGATGGATTCAGTGTCTTCTCTAAAGAGAGACAGGAGAATTCTGTTTTTGATAAATATATATATATCTACATAGTCTTAATTTGTAAAAAATAAAAAAAAAAATTCCTTAACCTTTCCTGATGTTTTTGTGTGTTAAGTCAAGGGCACAGCTAGGTTGGAATTTGGGGTGCTGTTCGGTTTGCCTAGTGGGGCCTGGGATTGAGATGGATTCAGTGTCTTCTCTAAAGAGAGACAGGAGAATTCCTACTCCAGCTGCAGCCAGCCACTGATGTTGGGATTTTCTCTCTCCTCCCTCCCTGACCTTTGCTGAGGGTTAGAGTTGCTTTAGGTGTGCCATCAGCTTTGGAATTTGGGGGTGCAAATTCCATGCATCCTGCAGGTACTTTGTCTCAACATCTGTGGCCAGGCTGTGTTGTGGGTGAGTGAATCCTTGTGAGCTTAAATGTGAGAGACAGTTTTGTGGTTCACTCAGGTTGCTGAGCCAGCACTTTCCCCTAGTTAAGTTCATCTAGGCCTTAGGGTTTAATTCTGACCCATTTATCCAAATTGCTTACAGTTGACCTAGTTGGACCCCATAAATCCCCATCCCAGCTAAGGAATTTCTTCCAACTTGGAAAGAATTCATTAAGTATCTTCTCTCATTGAGGAAAGACGCATCCGCAAGCACTTTAAGCCTAATTTTATCCTTGTACTGAGGCACGAACACACTGTTTCCAGTGTATACAGTGTCAGGCACTGCAGAGTGATTACATGAATTGTTCTGTTAGGGTCTTAGTAGCCTAAGAAGATGATCATTTACTTCTATGATCAGTTACTTTCAAGGTCACACCAGTGGGTAAATGTTTGCAGAAACAAGGTAGGGTGCCGAGTTGTTGGGGTCCCTAATTGTCCCGAATTGTTGGGGTCACTCTTTGTCGTGTAACATTAAGGTTAGTCCTGGGGCACTGCCATCTTTTTTATCCTGAGCTGTATGCTGGCTATTTCCTTGGCAGAGGTGAGGGAAAAGTGTAAAATTTTCAGCTAAGTCTCATCCCAAATCATAGTAACCAGTATACAGAGTGAGCACCCTTTTCATCTTCCTTCAGCAGCTACGAGTGAGGAAGATGTGGGCTGCAGAAGTGGACGATCTCCCTAATGTGTTTGAATTAGGTGTGTGCATTCTCCCAAAGTTGGTGACAAGATGTTAAGATGGCTCCTGGTTGGCAGTCATTTGCTAGCTCAGTAGAGCTGCATGGAAACATTGCATGTTTAGGAGGGTGGGGAGATGACTCAATGGGCGAAGTGCTTGTGGTGCAAGCTGTGGGCTGGAGTTCGGATCCCTAGAACCCTCATAAAAGCTGAATTAGCAAGGCAGCCAGCTGGGGGCAGACAGTCTCCCACAAGCCACAGTGCTGGCATGGGCAGGCTGCAGACTCAGGCCCACCCCCGGTATAGTGAAAGATTAAGGAAGACACCTAGTGTCAACTTCAGGCCTCCACATACATAGGCTGAGACGACAGTGGCAGGCACAGTCTGGCCTGGTGGGTTGGGGAAGCTCTTTGGAGAAGACACCTAAGCTAAGTAAGGCTAAATCTCAAAGTTTGAGTCAAACTGAGATATGAGAAAAGTTATGAAAAGCAGTAATAGGGGTTTGAGGCTGAGATTAACATGAGGCAAGGCGTAACAGCATGACTTGATACAGAGTATGCAGGTTTTACCAGGTTGAGGAGACTAGTTAGAAATGGGAATTTGGGGGGCTGGAGAGATGGCTCAGCGGTTAAGAGCACTGACTGCTCTTGCGGAGGACCCTGGTTCGATTCCCAGCACCCATATGGCGGCTACAAACCATCCTTAACTCCAGTTCCAGCGGAATCCAAAGTTGTCTTTTGACCTGCAGCATTGCATGACATGGGTGCACTCATATACATGCAGGCAATACACTCATACACATAGAATAATAAAAAAATTAAAAAAGCAAGAAATGGAAATTTGGTTCATAAACAGGTTAACAGTTACAAAGACCCCAAGTAGTAGCTACTAAGGAGTTGACTGTCCTGAGAGCAACATTGAAAAACCAAAAGCAAGGGAGTGGTTATGTGTGTATTTTACACCCTGGTGATAAGATTAGCAGGAGAAAGGCCACTATTTTCTAATGCCTAGACAGCTGTCTCCACTATTTCTGCCTAAAAGGAACCAGAGGTCTGGACAGGAAATATAAGAAGCCAGCCTGGAAAGCATTGTCAGAAAGCAAAGAAGCAGCCAGGTGTGGTGTCAGCATGCCGTTAATCCCAGCAGAGACAGAGGCAGGTGGAACTCTGAGATTGAGGCCAGCCTGGTCTACATAATGAGTTCCAGGCCAGCTGGGGCTACAGGGAGACCCTGTCTCAAAAAGACCAAAAAGAAAAAAGACATCAAGTGTTGAGAGTGTGCTGACTTGGAGAAATGTTCAGGCTTTTTACAGAACAATTTGGCATCTTTTTATAACATCAAACACCCGTTAGACCTTGAACTCAGGACCTTTATATTTTGAGACTGATGTGCGCCTGCTATAAGAAGGCAGTTGCTGGGCTGGAGAGACACTCAGCAGTTAAAAGCACATACTGTTCTTGCAAAGGAACAGTTTGGTTCCCAGTACCCATGTCCAGTGGCTAACAATTGCCTGTAACCCCAGCTCCAGAAGATCCAACCCCTTCTTCTGGCCTCTGCAAGCACTCTTATACATGTACACGCACAGACAGACACACACACATACATAAAAATAAATCATTTTTTTTAAGGCACTTACTCATTCAACCCAGCAATTTCAGTACTGGGTGTCCTAGAGATAGAAAAATTGTGTTCAGACAAAAGCTGTACACAAATGTTTTGAGGATTACAGGTGTTTACCATTTACCATCATGTCCAATTTTCTAAGGTGACTGAATCCAGGTCAGGCTTTGTGCATGCTAGGCAAGTGCTATATGCCCATTCTCAGTTTTATTTCTAACAGCCTAAAACTGGAAACAATTATTTTTCCATTGGGGAATGAATAGACAAACTGCACATGTACATGATAGAATACTTAGCAATACTTTCCAATACAGAACATAGCCGGGCGCGGTGGCGCACGCCTTTAATCCCAGCACTGGGAGGCAGCGGCAGGAGGATCTCTGTGAGTTCAAGGTCAGCCTGGTCTACATAGCGAGTTCAGGCCA